ACAGAGGACTGCTGGAGGAAGTAAAGTTTCATCATTCGACATTTAAGGATGAATTGGAACTAGTCAAGTGACATGTTCACTGATTTCTTTCTTGTCTTTGACTGTGTGCCTTAGTGAGTTTACACAGCATGAATTCAGGTATGAAAGCAATATTTTTTAGGGGAAAGAAAGCATGGTGATATTAAGGAATCCAGTAGAGCTCGATATTAACAAAGTAGAATGCTGCGTGTAAAAGGGAAGAAAACTAATGGGAAGTAAGATTGGAGAAGTCAGTAGGGAAAACCATGCAACAAATAAAGCAGTTTTTCTTTTAATCCTAAGGTCAAAAGTAAAAAGAAAGCTATAACTACATTTATATTAGAGAAAGAACTCATCCTCTCCAGTGAACAGTGAATCAAGAGCCCAGAAACTGAGAAGACAACATGGGCTACTGTCATCCAGGAGAGAGAGAGGGAGAATGGTACCTTGGTCTAGTTCACTGATGCAGAGCATGAACTTTTAGGGTTATTGAAGGGATGGTTGGGTATAAGGAATGAAGGAGAGAGGAGTGAAGGATGCCTCTATGGCTTTGTCTGAGTGCATGGAGAAATGATGGGAAGCATGGTGCTACCTACCCTTTACCAAGATGGGAAACTCAAGAAGAAGATAGCAGATCAGAGATTCAGGGAATGAGGGGTGTGGATTCTGCTTTGGGTCTTTAAATTGAGAAGAGTGTGCTGGGTAGCTTTATGTCAACTTGACACACCAACTGGAGGGAACCCCAGATTGAGAAAATGCCTCAATAAGATTTAGCTTTAAGCCATTTTCTTAATGATTGATAGGGAAGATCCTCAGTCCATTGTTGGTCGTGTCGTCCCTGGATGGTGGTCCTGAATTCTATAGGAAAGAAAGCTGAGCAATCCATGGGAAGCAAGCTAGTAAGCAGCACCCCTCCAGGGCCTCTGAATCATCTCCTGCCTCTAGGGTCCTGCCCTGTTTGAGTTCCTCCTGACTTCCTTCAATGATGACCTGTAGCCGGAAGCTTCTCCAGTCCTCCCCTGCCTGTGGGATGAATGTTGGGATGAATCTCTCCCACCCACATCCCGAAGCCACTTGGTCCCAAGTAAACACACAGAATCTTATATTATTTACAAACTGTATGGCCTAATGGCTCAGGCTTTTCACTATCGAGCTCTTACAACTTTTATTTAATTAATAAATTATAAATTTCTATTAATCTATATGTTGCCAGGTGGCCATGGCATTGCTGGTCTGCTGACATTTTTGATGCTCCTTGGGCAGTGGCCTGGCATCTCCCCTTACTCTCCTTTCTCCTTTCACTATCTCTCTTGGATTTTCCCATCTGGCTCCACCCTACCCTGCCATTGACCAATTTATTTATTTATTAGCCAGTGGGAGTAACACATATTCACAGCATACAGGAAGACATCCCACAACACTTCCCCTTTTCTGTCTAATCAAAAAAGAAGATTCACATATTCACAGCATACAGGAAGACATCCCACAGCAATGAACAGCAATGAAGTGTAAGCCAAATAAACCCTTTCCTCTCCAACCTGCTTTTTTGGTCACGGTTGTTTCATCGCAGCAATAGAAACCCTAGCTAAGGCAGAGAATGAAATTCCTTCAGACTAACAAACCAACACGAAGGTATCATGGGATCTGAGAAACAGGAACTAAGTCTAGATATGGCGTGGCAGTCATTGAATGTCCCTAGCCTTGGTAGCACCATGCTTGCCTGTCTTCCAGGAAGCTTCTCTTACTTTGACTTCTCTGCATCTCCTTGCACTTCCCACTCCCCTCCTCTAGAGTGGGATCTGTAGCAGAGCCTCTGCATCACCTATTATCTCCTGTCACCAGTTCAGGGTATAACATAATGAGCTCCCCCCTGGGACCTTACTCAGTGATTGCTTACCAGATGAGGCTGTGTTCTATGATCATCCTTTATCAACCGCCATGGTCATTTTTCATCAAGCTCTGTGTTTTAAAGAGAAAGCCTCTTTTCTTCCCTGCCTGACACCCTGCTTTCTTGTTGCATTCTAGCTTTGCATGGTATAGAGAGGCAGAATAGAACACAAAAGGATTATGGCCTGGAGATGGGGAGAGCATGGAGCAGCATTTTATGTTTCTTCTGAGGTGGTGGGGAATTATGGACAAGTAATTTCTCAGCTACCTATCTGCTAAAGAAACTTTCTCAGGATGGGGAGATGTCTCAGTATTTAACATGCTTGCTGTGTAAATATGAGAATCTGAGCAAATTTTGGATGGGCTTGGTGTTTCCCACTATTTCCAGCCTTGGAAAGCAGAATCAGTATCCTTAGGGCAAACTGACTAGCTAGAGGAACCACATTGACCAAGTCTGTGTCTGATTAGGACACCATAGCTCAATGAATAAGATGGAAAAGGAGATAGAAGGGGATTCCCACCACCAATTTCAGTCCTTCACATGCTCTGAAACATACATGTGCACATGTAACCCACACAAATATGTGTCCCCACAAATGAAAATACCATATGTACATTCATATAGCTCAAAAATGAAAAAAAAAAGTTCTCCAAGCTCCCTTATAGACTTCAATTTGACTTTTTGTCTCTTCATCTAAGTTATCTTTTTTTCTCCTGTTTTCTGAACTGTGCAAACTGATGTTCCTCCAATCTTGAATGTGTGGCTATTTGTGCTTTTTCTGAGTTTTCTTTGATCACATTGAAAAGCTTGTGACGAGTTGCATTTTCTGATCCTCAACATAGTTCTCTGTCTATTGCAACAATAAACTCAAATAAGACGTTCAGTAAATGCTCATTGAATGCAATCAGATAGAAGCAAAAGACTCACCAAAACACATGTGGTTACTCTACAGTTTTGAAATACTTGTGCTTTGCACAGCTCCAATTCTGCAAAGTATTGTGAGGAAGGTATTCTATTCTCCTGTTTGTTTAGACTTGCTCAATGTTAGATGCTAACTTTCCCGATGCTTTATCTATATTAGAAATCCACTGGGATAATTTTGAGAAATAGAGAATTTTTCTTCCAACATTAATCTCACATCTCAGAACATATTATAAAGTAAATATGAGCAAGTCTCATTATAATAGTGGTGCAAACTGGATCCTCTCTATGTCTCTCTAGATATTCAGAACTCTTTGGTTACTGTAAGTAACTAAGTTCCAGTTATATAATTCTAAGTGCCTGTGCATGACACAGCTTCACTTCTCATACTGAGCTTACATAAGATGCTGGGGCTTTCAGAAATGAAGATAATGTAGCCTCTGCCACTTCCTGTAAGAATAACCCACCTCCCATGGACAAAGCAGGTGGAGGAGGCTCTCTAACAGCCCAGCATGTTTTCTGTCTGTGGAAGAGGTAAAGCAGGTGGTCCATACACTCTTCCAGTTTTCACATTCTCTGACTCTAAGTGTTAATGATGTGGCCATGTGCAGTGAGTGCTTTGAGCTCAGGAGTAACGTACTATATAAATTCAAGGACCATTACGTGCATAATCACAGCTGCTAAGCAGGGACAAATTCCCTATTTGCATGATGTCCTCCAGAAACCTCAAGGGAAACACTATTTAGGATCAGAAATCCATTACCTTTTCCTTCTGAAAGAAAGAAAGAAAGAAAGAAAGAAGGAAAGAAAGAAAGAAAGAAAGAAAGAAAGAAAGAAAGAAAGAAAGAAAGAAAGAAAGGAAAAAGAAGAAGTAAAGAAAGGAGAGAAAAAATTCTATGCACTGAAAGCTCTGTTCAGCACATTGCTGCAGGTAAATCATTCATTTGTCATTTAGGAAAATATCACAAATAATATTCTCCCCTGATTCAAATAAAATTTCCAATGCCAAGCTGTGCAGGTTGCCAGAAGTGTGTCTAGGTTAATTGCACACCTGCATTTTATTTCAAGTAAATTGCAAGCTCCCCCCTCTCCCCGTGCCCCTCGCAAAGCAGGAGCCCACCTGTCTGGAGGCTCTTTGAGCAATGAAGGGCTGCAAGAAAAAATTAGTCATCCTCTTTTCTTCCCTGTGACTTCTTTGACCTTGAGACTTCTAATGGCATCTCAGACAAAATGAACATAATGTAATGGACAGCGGGGAAGAGGGAACGGCTGGGTACATCTGTCGCATTACTGGGCTGTCTGAACAGTCAATGAAGCAGGGCCAAACCATAAGAGGCCTGTTCAGTTTAGCTCCAGGGTCCACAGACAAGGAGCACAATCATTTATCTTTATTTACTGAACTCTGCTTTCTGTTTAAGAAAAAAAAAATTGACAGGTTGACAAAAACCCGCGTTGGCGCTGCCCGCTGCCCAGAGATAAATG